GCCCCCCCCCCAGCCTATTCCTGGGTCCCACCCCCTGGCTCCCTTCCACTCTGCAGGGGTCCAAGACTCTTGCAGCTTCCCACAGCATGCTGCCTGCTCCTGCTCCCAGGCTGGCTTCCCATTCCCTGCTGCCTGAAACTCTGTTCTGTTTCCATGGTTCTCCTAAGCCCAGGGCAAGTGGCCTGGTCTCTAAGTTAATAGTGCAGTTCACAAAGTGGCCAGTAGGGGTGCTGTGTTTCCCGCCCCAAAATGTAAAGCCCCAATTATTCTCTCAGCTCCCCAAGCCCCCACGGTGCTTTCAAGGGTGTTCTTGGTTGTCTTTGGGTAGCATTTGATAATTTATAATTTTAGAGACACACTGTGTGCCAGGCCTGGTGTAAGATCTTTACATAGAGAATCACTAATGTTTGATGATACAATGTGTGTGCAGTACTGGGGGGGGGGGGGTTGAGGGGGCCTGTGACTGGGTCTCCAGTTATCCTGAGCAGACAGTGATCCTGGAAAATTTCTGCATCCTCCCACAGACACCCAGGCTCTGCACAGGTCTGAGGTCTCCTATTCTTTGCAAAGATTCCTCAGATATTGATTTTCAGGGAAATTTATGTTGTCTGGTATTTAGAAAGACAAAATCCACAACCGACTATGAATATCACTGGTAAGAAGAGGGGGCATCTAAGGTTCCTTCATCCCCTCACTGAGCATGTTTGCTACATTATTCTAAATTCTCCCCCCTCCCCCGCTCAGCTTCAAAGAGGTAGTCTGTTTGGGTGAAATTCTCAAAAGACAGTTGTTTTCAGTTCAGGAATAGAAGGTGTGGCCTGGGGAGATGGTCAGTGAGGAATGTGCTTGAGTCACAAGGCTGATGACCCATGGTGTAACCCTGGGACTCAGGGAAAAGCTGGGTGTGGTGACATAGGATTGTAATCACAGTGTTTGGGAGGTGGAGACAAGAGGGTTCCTGGGGCTCTGCCCAGAGAGTCAATATTAATGTGGAAATCCAGGTCAGGGAGAGACCAGGCCTCAAAGAAAGATGGATGGCTTGAGGTGTATTGATGCACAATGAAGCCACATATCACACACACACACACAAAACAAACAAACAAAAAACAACAACAACAAAAAAAAAAAAAACAGGGGATACAGGAAGTTGGAAGGGCAGGCTAAGGCTCTGGATGGCTCACCCAGGACATCATAGGCCAGCAGAATATCAAACTCCACCTCCTGCTGGAGCTCAGAGGAGCTTAGCCTCAAGATTAGCCCAGGGGAGTTGATCCCCCATGATCTGAAGACCTCAAATTTCACTGGAAAGTTTTGCTCGCCTTGTAACTGGCACAGCTTTTTCTCAATTTCCTTTAGGAACTCTCCCCGTTGGTTTAACTGATCCTCATAGCTGGTGAGATTGTTAAGGAACACCACCAGGTCCGCATCTGTTCTGCCTGTGAGCATTTTTCCTTTCCCAGAGGAGCCACCCTGAAAGACAATAATAAGAATGACAAGAGACAGGGAGAGCCAATAGCAGGAGTCCAGGTGCTGAAGAGCCTAGGGGGCCATCACACCAGCGAGATGGATGGACAGAGAAAGCTAGTCCTGTTCAGCGGAATACTAGTCAGCCCTGAAAAGTGAAATCAAGATCAATGTCGGAAAATGGATGTTTCTGGATCTCCTCATGGTACAAGAGATAAGCCAGACTCAGAATGATGAACATCAGTGTTTATCTGTGGGATCTTATGTGTGTGTGTGTGTGTGTGTGTGTGTGTGTGTGTGTGTGACTGTGAGACAGATGGGGAGGGGTCTAAAGGAAATGAGGAGAAAGGGAGGATAATTGTTTGAGGAAACAGTAACACATTTCCTCTCATGCGGAATCTAGATCTAGCTGCACACATGTGACATGAAATTAGAAGGGGACTCTCTGATGGGGGTGAATAACAGGATGGCAGTGGGTGGGAGGAGAGTATGAGTAATTAATATATATGTACAAAAGTATTGTCATGAACTCCATTATTAGCATTGTTGGGGAACATGCTCTCGTGACAGCACATGCTTACAAGAAATTGGCCTTATATAATATAAAATAATATAAAATGTCTTAAAACCACAGAAAAATAGTAAAATTGATCCACACCTGTAAAATAACAAAATAATGTAAAGAAGAATGAGAACTCATTCTAAGGAGAGCCTCCCTAAATAAAATGCTGAGAACAATCACTAACACACATGACTATCAGCCACTGTTGAGTGGCATTTCTGGGGACCCACAGTCACACATCAAGTGGAGCTTGGAGAATCCTGCAGAAGATGGTGAAGAAGGATTGTAGGAGGCAGACAGGTCAAGGACATCACAAGAAAACCTACAGAGCCAGCTAACCTGGACTCATAAGGGCTCACAGAGACTGGACTGACAACCAGGGAGGCTGTCTGGGACTGACCTAGGCCCTCTGCTTATACAATATGGTTGTGTAGCTTGGTCTTCATATGGGACTCCTAACAGTGGGAGCAGGGGCTGTCTCTGAATCCTTTGCCAGCTTTTGGGACCCTGCTCCCCCTACTGGAATTGCCTCATCCAGACTTGATATGAGGGGAAGGATATGCCATGGTTGGCTGATAGCCATGGGAGGCCGGTCCTTCTCTGTAGAGAAACTGAGGAGGAGTGGATTGGGGGGACATAGGGGACATGGGGGAGAGATGAGGGAGGGAAAACTGTGATTAGGATGTTAATAATGAAAAATGTCATGTCTGGGCATAGAGAGGTGGCCTGAGGGCACATGCACAGCCCCCATCCACAAAGTTTTAAAAGTAAAAATGGAAAACAAAACAACCAACAATATGATTTCTGCAGATTTCAAAGCGATTGAGGCTTAGGTCCTGTTGTCATGAAGTCTGATTTGACAGATTCCAACCCAAAGTCCAGTGAGGGTCAGTCAATCCAGTCACCCAGCATGTGGGGTCCTGTTCTGTCCTCTGTGTCACATTTAACTTAGTTTGAGTGTTTGTGCCATAGTGGGAAATGTGCAGAGTACACTGTGCACAGAGAATGTCAGTAACTGACCAGAGGTCACACAGCAATGCAAAGGTTGGGTCCCCCGATCCACCACTCTCCAGAAAACTGATTCCATAACTTGGCTCAGTTTCCCTGACTCTGAAATGGGTGTGGCATGGGAGGGTGGAACATAAACTATAGCTGAGGCTCTTTTTCTAATACAGATGTGAGACCTGGGGGCAGAACCCACCACAGCTGTGATGGGGTGAGTGAGGAGGGATCAGGGCGGCAGCCTGGCTCCTGAGGGTCCTCTCCCTCCCCATGGGGGTCTGTTCAGGCTGAGGGGGCTCACCTTCACCACCTTGGAGACCCTCACAGGGTGGGCGGCGCCTTGGAAGCATCTCTCCTTCAGGAAAGTGCACATGACATGGATGACGGCTTTGACTTCTTTACGGAAGTCGGTGTTGGGTTGGAGGTGGTCCTCTATGAAATAGTCCAGCTGCCAGGCCCAGGCACTGCTAAGTCCCTGCCCCATCCTCAGGCCCTGAAGCTTTGCCTCTACAGACTGTGGCTCCTGTGTCTCCCAGGCTGGCTGAATCCAGCCATAGGCCTTTTCAGTTTCGATTTCTAGGAAAGGGTGAGGCTGCCAATGTTTCCAGGTCTGGCTTTCTTAGGATCCTGTGGGTGCAAGGTCAAAAGAATGACGATGGTGAACAATGCCCTAGGGAACTGTGAGAGAGGCTCCAGGAGAAAAGGCAGAGGGCCTTTCACCTCAGGTGCACTTTGCTCCCTGGATTGTTCTTGGACTTTTGTACCTCCTGTGACAAACATTTACGTTTAATTTATGACATATTGGTTCTTGTTGGATGTCAGAACACAGCCTACAGAACCCAATGTGGTTGGTGTACCCTGGATCTGGATATGGCCTTCTGCCTTACTTCATGCTTTCCCAAATACAACCTATGGTATGTGTTTAAATTGGTCGGTCCTGGGAAAGTTCTGGGAAAGGGCGGTTCTGTTGATATTTTGTACGTGCTTATTGGTGTTTATTTACAAGTTTTTCTGAACTCAAACATCCTTCCTTGGATCACTGCTTTCTTCGTTGCATACCTATATAAAAGTACACTGAAAGTCAAGTAAGGTTGTGTGCAGCATTACACAGTAGTAGACTGTAATCTGCCTCATTACTTCAGGTCCTCAGATCCCACATCCAGCAGACAAGATCTGTAAGGTTGACAAAAGTTGACAAGTAGCACCTGAGCCAGGGACCGGGATGAAGTTACTGGAGGACTAGCAGACTCCGGTAGAAGGAGGTGAGCAGGTATTAATATGGGGCAAAAGGCAGGAAAACTGTTACCTATATGGGGTTGATACATTGTATCTTTAAAGAGAGTGGTGCTACAATGTCTAAATCCCTGTTGCAAGAATGTTGGGATTTAATATCAAACTGTAATCCTTGGTTTCCTGAAAAGGGCACTTTAGATCCCAGAGTATGGGGTCAAGTTACAGAAAATATAGGGCAAATCCATAGACAAGGAGAAAGAATTCTGGCACAACTCTAGGTCACTTGGACATTTGTCCATACCATGATACAAACAATAAAATGGGGACAAGTCAAAGGATTTATAAAAGACTATGACAGATTCTTGATATGAATATGCAGGTCGGAAGGATCAAGTGGAACAAAATTGAAAGTAATAATGTCACTCTGTTCAAGGCTGAACATCCCTGGCATTCACTTCCCTGCCTGACCCGTTATACCCTCTTCTACCTGATGATCATGATGATTGCAATGAAGGGGGGAGGGGAGGTGATGTGCTGCCATTCCCAAGAGGAATGCCTTTGTTTTCCAGGACGGAGAACTCATGGCTTAAGTTACCAGGGTCTGGAAAAAGGACAGGAACTTTCTAATACTGGACAGGGGTCTGATGAGCCCTATCAAGATTTTGTTTCTTGTCCTCTACAGGCAGTCAGTTGTCTTACGGCTGATGGAGAGGCAGAAGTGCTAATGCTTATGCCAGACTGCCATCTGCCCCTTTCAAAAGAAAGGAGGAGTTAATGATTAGATCCACCTCTGTGCTGATATTGGGCCTTGGCATACTCAAGGGATAACTAGGGCTATGGCATTCAAGAGCAGTGTCAACTTGCCTTTCTAGGAAACTGATGCAAGATAATATTTCTGTTGATTTGTTTGCTTAGGATTCACAAGTTCCAGTCCCTGGTAATTAAGGCTGCTGTCCCAAGAGCTGTTGAAGCTGCAATCTCTGCTCCTATCAGAGGGGGCAAGTATAGGAGGAACCCTCCTGGTGCATAGTAAGCCTTATCTGCATTCTCCTGGCCTCCACTTCATGGTATAGAATTTGAGGTATAGAATATGAACTAATATACAAAGCTCAGGCTTGTCTTTCTCAGTGAAATGTCCTGGGGAGAGGCAGGGTTTCAAGCCAACGGTACAGGCAAACCAAGTTGATGTAGGGGCTGCCAAAGGGGTATTATGGTTTAGGGCAGCCCATTCATTAACTGGATCGATTATAGTTTGGGGCCACCCAAGATGGGTTAAAGCCAACAGACAGTAAAAAAGGACAGAGGTCAATCTTTTATTAGTCTTATCTTCAGTGGGTTGCACTGGTCCAGCTGAACTGTCCATCTTCTCCCAGCATCTCTGTTGGATCTTTTGTCAGAAACAGGGCTTCACTGGGTGTGACGTATCCAGGAATGGATGCTGTCGGCTTTGACAGGAGTGGGAATAGTCGGGCTCACAATGTGAGGGCCTTTCCAGCAGGGACCCAGAGTCTCCTTTTGATGAAGTTTCACCCAGACCAGGTCTCCCAGTTGGTAATCAAGGGGTCCATCAGACAGCAGATCATACAGATGGGGGAGCAATGGAAACAGTCATGGATCCTTTGCAACACCTGTACTGACCGGAGTAAGGCAAAGTTAGGTATCTCAGCAACTAAATCAGACATAAGTTTTGGACAGATTGGAGGGGGCCTACCAAACATTATGTCATAGGGGGTTAGGCCCTCCATGTAACAGGCATTTCTGACCCTGAGGAGGGCAAAGGGAAGGAGTGTGGTCCAGTCCTCGCCAGTCTCTAGGGCTAATTTACTTAAGGTCTCCTCTGTTTCTCCCTATCCTACTTCTGCTGGACTATCCTGGAATGATTGACATATAAGCAACAGTTTTCCCCAAAGGAAATTTGCCTTTGACCCAGCATTCTCAGCCTGTTATGGGGCAGGGATGATGTACTTACTTCTTTTGTAACTTCCAGTTGAACTGGGACAATAGTGGTCAGGGCCCAGGAATGCTGAAAGGCCAGGCAAAGGCTGGGCAATGGGGCATTTATCGGGAGCATCTGATGAGCTGTTCCAGGTGGAGGGACAGGGAGCGATCACATCGGCTGGACTGGTTCACATCAGCTTTCAGCAAGTCCAGAGCTCAGAAGTTTGCAGTCTGCAGGTGCTCCCGGGATGGCATCTGTCAAATCTGCTGAGACAAAAACAGATTAAGGACAAGTTATAATTTAGGAGCTTAAAAGACATCCTTATATGCTTTGGGACTTTTCCTTGTCTAGGGTCTGTTTGACCTGTGACAGATAGTTTCATGCCTTATGACCTTTTCAACACCCTGAATCTCACATGAATTTTTAGTTCATCAAAGGAGATAAAAGTTCTATTAGCATTTTCATTGCACTGAAATCCACATTGTAGGAAAAAACAGTCAACAGGTGTCTATATAAACAGCTGGGACAGATTTAGAGGCATAGCAAAAGCTATGGCTTTGGGTTAGCCTGATTAAGAAATACCTTTAAGTCTACATTTAGAAGACAACCAGAGGAAATTCAAAATCTTGAGCTTATGACTGAAAAACAAGTAGTCAGTGCTGTGCCAGTTTATCAGAACTCTACTGACCCAATGTTAAAATTCTGTATCTTTGAAATCTTAGTATAGCCACAATATACCTATATAGCTTGCATTTATATTTTTCAGTTATTTTCTGAAAGCCTTAGAACTTATTTAAGTATTTACTTCCTTAGACCTTGAATGGACTTTGAACTACATTTTTAATCATTTACTAGAGACATGGGTAATACAAAGACTGTGAGCAAGGCAAACCTGTGTGTCTTTTCTTAACAAATGGTATGACGGACTTTAAAGATCCCCCATGGAAGGCCTCACCCTCCCTGGGGAGCAGAAAGAGGATGGGATAGGGGGCCGGTGGGGGGCAGAGGAGGAAGAGAGGGAGAGGGAACTGGGATTGACATGTTAAAGAAGCTTGTTTCTTTAAATAAAAGGAAGCAAAAAGGCAAGAGACCCAGTAGTTTTAACTAACTAATGAACTGACTAATGTGGCTGTAGCCTTGAGGGAAGGAGCCAACTGTCTGTTGTTGCCAAGCCAACAAAGCTACAGTTAACTTGACCATCAATGTCAGAGATCTTGAGGAGTAACCAAAATGCCGGAGCCTAGTCCATAGTCCTTTGCCCAGACAGTTACCTCAGGCTCCTATGGTAATGAGGGTAGAGGTACCAGGGCAGAAGTCTTGGCTGCCAGGCCCAGAAGATGAGAGGTTTTCCTGTGGAGGAGGAACATGGGGGGACTGGCCTTACCTTGTCTAGGCAAAATGGGGTAATCAACTCTCCAGTGTCCTGCTTGCCCACACAGTTTGAGCCAAGCCAGGCAAGGCATTGGGGACAGTCTCGCCCAGTGGTTAGCCTTACGGCCTTCCCTTAAGACCGTCCAGGTGGAGTTGTCCATTGATTGCTGTGTCTATGTCTTCTTGGAGATCTTGGGAGTCACTCCTAGGTTCTGTGAGTCTCTGTCTGTTTATAAATTTAAATATCTAAATTCCATATTCAGCAAATCTCTGACAGTTTGAGGGCCTGAGCCAAACAACCTTCATTTGTTTTTAGTTATTTGTTATAGGCTATACCTTGAAAACATTTAAGAGGCCAAATATTTTCTCTATTTGATTACATTAGTGCTGAGTGTTGTGCCCAAATTTTGAACCCCCAAATCACCAAGAGACCCGATCTGATGCAAAAGCATAGAGCCTTTTATTGTTTAATGAGTTAACTGTGTTTAACTTGGTTCCTCTATCCATCCGACAGGATAGATGGGGCAAGAAGGACCTGGAGGGACTGAGGGGTGGGAAATTTATTGGGGTGAGCAAGGGGAGTGTCTAGGGATCCACAACAATCTCAGGATTCGTGCATTTCTGGACTTGGACAACCTGTCCTGTGTTGATTGATTGGTCAACTGGTTGCTATGGCCTATAGGCCCTCCCTGAGGTGGTTGCTATGCTCTGCACTCCACTGTTATCACAAAGCATACTCAGAGTCTACCAGCTAACTTCTGATTGGTTCTTTGCCACATGGAGGGTATCTGGCTTCCTAGTGAGGGGCAGGGTCTGAAGTTCCGCACATGTTGCTGAGTAAGGGACCTTTGTCTTGCTGGGTCTTTTCTGCAGCCTGTCATGGCTTCCAAAGCAGGGGGCTGGGTGAGGGTGTGGTCCCTTTACTTAGCTTGACTTGTAAGTATAGTTTTGGATATCTCAAAGCTTAATCATCTGTAACAGTTTATAATTGTTGGAACCATGGCATTATGCTGACCCTGCCCCCTGACA